GTTTTACAACAACAACAAACTTTTATTTCCAAATAACAATGCAAAATGCATTCATGAAATAACCTAGAGATGTGCTAAATAGTCATTGAGACAATAAGGTTCTAGATCTGCCAAAAATTTGTGTAATTTTCTTTTAAAGGAATTCAAATTACTATTTATTTATATCTGTAGGAAGATGATTAAAAATGCTCAAGTAACTATATTCTACCTTGCTTTCTGTTAAAATGAGACGGTGAATAGGATATATATATATATATATATATATATATATATATATATATATATAACAAAAAGTAGGTAAATAATGGGCAAAATCCGCAAACAGGATAAAAGTGGATTCGAGTAGAAAATAGGATAGGTAACCCGAGCGATACGCATTTCTGCTGGTTGGCTTCATAAGGTCCGAAATGAATGTACATATGCAACTGCAAAAGTAGATACACATGTCTACACATCCGGATACGGGTGTAACCTGAGGGAACGACGATGGAGAGGGAAAAAATCGACATACGAAGTCCACAACAAGAGTCAACCTACACATGGTAGTATCAAATGGCTAGAAGACCTCGAATTTTCAAGGAGACATCTAACCACAACCACGCGGCCGGTTATAGCCACTTGCTGTGGTACTTCAAGCCCAAAGGATCTACAAAAAGAAAATGATCATGCGGAGAAAGGTATATAACAGAAATAGGAAAATAATGGGCAAGATCCACAAAAATGATGAAAGTGGATTCGAGCAGAAAATAGTAACCCGAGCGATATGTATTTCTGCTGGTTGGCTTCAATTTTTTGCCCGGGGACAAGCAAAATTCATCCAATGGAGTCCATTATGAATAAGGTTATTAAAAAAAACTGAATCAGAATATTTTCCGAGCGGATTCGAAGATATTCTTTGTACTGCAACTATTTTTCAAGATACAAAGCGAAATAAGCGTTTATGTCACTTGGAGTATTTAAACTCGCGACACTACGAACCTTGACTTTAATTTTATTCAGCGGCCACACTTTATACAATCGTCCATATAAATACATTTTAATGCTGCAATTTGGCACGCAAATCATATACGTTGGCACCTTTACTGCTCCAAAGTAACAAAACAATAAAAATGATTGCTAAATGCTAGTCGCTCCTCCTTGACGGTACATTGTCTTGGTTGCTAGTAATTGCGTTCGCGGGTCAAAAAATGAACCAGTTCGGAACTAAAACTGAACCATCCAGAATTAAACAAATGCGCATGTCCAGTTATTTTCTAGTTCGAGATTTTCGTTTACCGCGCACGACTTTGGAACTGTTTGCGTATTCAACACTGTTGCCAATTTGCCCTCTATTTTGTTCTGTTGCCAAGCTGCTATTCGATTGACACTATTGACAGCTTCCAGGTGTTGTCGGTACTTCAATAACTCCCAATAGTTCTTCCAAATCATCATCACTAAACGATAAATGGTCCGACATCTTAAGCACAAAATCTTAAGCACTGAATCTTAAAAACTTGAGATGGAACACTCAAAACATATGTATGGAACAGCATGCACTAAAAGCACAGGTGACAGATTTTCACAGAATAGGTTAAACACTTTAAACCCGAACAGAGGCAGCAGAAGATGAAATATCAAATGTCCATAACGATGCTAATGCGCATGATCAGCCGGATCGAACTTTTAGTCTCCCCAAAAATCTGAGAACCGTCAGGACCAATTCGGAATCAGTTCTGTACCAATTCGATATGATCCGCGAACGCAGAACTGTAACTAAAAATTCAGAATTTTCTTACCGCGAACGCCGATTTTTGAAGAGCGCATGCGAAGTGGTTCAGAATCAATCCCGAATCGGAACCGCGAACGAAACTAGTAAGAGTTTCGAATGCGCACTTCGTACATTGAGGGAAAGAGAAGCGAAAAGAAGAGATGCGAAACATTTCCGCTGGTTTCCATAGCTCACAATCAAATGAGAATCCGGGCATTGGAGCGACGCGAAGAAAAGCGACTTCTCAGGTTTGCAAATGTCACTCATTTACGTCGGTCTGTCTGTCTATCCACTAATCCTTGTCCCGTCTCTAACTGGGAAAACTTAGATACTATTCGTCATTTGTTTGTCTGGGCGGTCCGTAGGACATTTGCCCATTTGTCACTGTCTGAAACCAGACAATGTCAAGGTAAGAGGAGAAAAAAGGAGAAGAGCTACGAAAACAGCTTAAGAGGACACACGTAGGCTTTTTAACTACAAGGATGAATTTTGAGATGAACTAAAAACAAATCAAAGTGCTCTAACTCTATATCACGGTGTGAGCCGTGGCCTTGAATCTTTACGAACTTGCTCCACTGTGCAGTTCACTGAGTCATGCAACAGAGGGTTGACTAGACACACAAGGTTACTATTATGACAAGGACGAAAAAGATTTGTAGTCTTTGAATATAGGTCTAAGAAAATGAAAATCGCTCAAATTTAATTTTCTGACGTTTCAGAAGATCGTGATCATTTAAAAAAAATACAGGGGTGAATTATTGGGGGCGTGGCAGGGTTATCTCAATTTTTTGATATTAGTATGTTTATACGCTCCCAACCTCGGTAATTCAATCGATCTATTACGCATATGTGACACCTCATATACTTCTCTGCATATCTGCCCCTAAAAAATGCTTTTGATACGCGTCACTGCTTCTGCTGTCTGGTATCACCGGCGAGCATACCTATCTTGTTAAGTATCCTGGCCTTACTGCCGCATCTGACTTGTTGCACCTCCTATTGACTGATTGTATAAGCCTGTTTGACTGACTTGATCTGTTTAATTTCTCTATTATGCATGTTCGCAACTAACCTTTTTCTCAGAGGGTCTATCCAATTTGTGGTAACGGCGTTGGGTGAGAAGTGCAGAGTCAACCTACTTGACGATATTTTTTATGCAGCTGGAAGCAATATAATGTGAAAAATGATAGCAAATACGGCATTCTTGAAGAGTTTAGCGTTCCAAAGCTTGTTTACGGTTTCTAGTAACCTAATAGGTTAGATTTGATAAAATTCAGTAAATTTCTAATGGAGAGTGAACCGACCTCTCACCGGAGGATGGGCACAAAGGTGATTGAATTTACCTGGCCTGTTAAAAAATTCAAAAAACAGTATCTATAATAAAATTTTTTGAAGCATCGTTTAGGAATACCAATCAACTAAAAAGCCTGTGGAATGTGGTCCATTGTCTCAGTGTATCCTTAGCAGAAATTGTCTATCTCTTAGTCTAAATAGTGTCGTAAACGTATTCCAAAATGCCATACACTTAAATACGTTTTGCGTTTTTCGTACATTCAATGCAAAATGTCACGAGTGTGAATAAATTACAGCTGCATACAACCACATATCCGTCTGATGCATCTTCGAACGAAAAAGATGAACTGGTGCATATTGCAACATCCCAGCTCGTATCTACAATAACGTAACCACCAGTGATGTATGGTTCAGCTATAAAAGCCTTCTATGGTAATGGAAATAATAGACCATTAAAGAAAAAAGATGCGTGGTAACATAGTTCTTAATAAGTTCTTCTACAGGAGCCCGAAAAAGTACGTCTTATCGATCGCAGCCCAGGCACGCAAAATAGACCTTTCCCAGTCACCCATCGAAAATGCGAATTTTACCGGTGTAGAAAGACATACCTGTACGCGTATAATAGTTAAAACACTCGCAAATTAATTTTTAAACTAATGTCGCGTGCCTTAGATTGTAAGTTGTCACCTGTCACTTTTTTTTCAACTGTCTGCTTGTCAGAATACGTTTAAACTGATTATTTGATGGTGAGTGTAGAATGATTAAACAACAATTTTGGCAACTTTTTATGTTAAAAGATTTTTTTTCAGCTTTGAAATTTTGTCGAAATTACACATTTACAGTAGAATTGCGCGTGTGATTATTTTTACTCTTATCACTTTTTTACTTCGAAAAATCTTTGATTTTCGTAACAAATTGAGTTATCAAGAAAAACAAAGATTTTTTGAAGGAAGAAAGTGATAAGACCTGCTCAGTTCTTCCATAAAAGTGGAATATTCACATATTATTTTAGAGCTGTAGTATTATTTGTTACGAGTTCCGATTGACAGGCTGTTGAAAAAAGGGACATGCGACGTTAAGTGGAAAATGTCTACTATTAGGAAAGACGGTTGTTATCACGCAAAAACTGTGCTCGGTTGGTAATTAATGAGCCTTCAGGGTGAGTTTCTTTGTACTTTGGTTTATGGATGCAAACAGTTGTGGTTTGGACGCCACCTAGTTCCAAGCACTAGGAAAAGAAATAACGAGTAACCAATGTTGGGTTTCTGACGCTAAAGGAGATACTCGCTAGGTACACAAATTTATTGAACAAAAGAAATAAAAAAATTTAAATAAAAAGTTCTGGAGGACAAGCTAAAGAAAATTATTTTGTATTACCCCCCTACCTAAATGGTTTCCAGTAAATATTAAAATAAAAAATAAAAACCACCTAGGCAGGTGCTTGGCTATTGCCGGTAGGCAACCGAGAACAGGAAGTCTCAGATGTAACTCTAAAAGGGCTCCGACAACAATCTTACTAATGGAGGCCGATTTCTATCGAAATCTCCACCATCCGATAAATCCGGAGCTCTGCGTGTGACACTACTTCACAAAATCGGGTAGTGGGCCGCTGAATTCCTGCACGAGAGCGTCGGAAGTAGCACCAAGTCACTTTCAGTTCTCTTATTGACGGTTGACAGAAGTTATAAAAAATGACCTTTAACGAGAGTGGGAGTAGAGTATGATTTTCTACCAGTTCGCCCGTTCAGTAAAAAAATGATGAGTAACACAAAATGTGGAAGCACATTTTTAACCAACCCCATAGTACAAGTATTAGCACATGCTTTTAGGACATCAAACAACGAATAAACTTAGTCTACAAAGTTATTTTTTTATGTCTTTAGTAGTATAGAAGTATAAGCGTCATTGTCATTGAAAATGTGGGACATTTTGTACTTGTACACAAAATACATTTTTTCAGATATGCCCAGTACGCCCACTTCAAAATATACTCGGAGGCCGATTATTACAAGCTGGAAATAGATGGTTACGAAGGCAATGCAGGCGATTCTCTGAACGACCCATGGTATGGAAGCAGCAATAGTCCATTCTCCACATACAACAGGTATGAATTCAGGTTTTTATTCTTTTTGTTTGAAAGGTCACCAAGAGTTTTTCGGTATCCAATACTCGCTCGCTTTCCGTTGTCTTCAATGACCGACCTATACCTTACTGATGAAAAAAAGCATGAAACAACTTTGTGTACAGTTGGTTATTGTCACAGAGACGTAAAGTATACAAATTTCAGCTTATTGAGTTTTCTCAGCTCTAGTAATGAAATGTTTACCAAATGTGGTGTCCCACAGGGAACGGTTTTAGGTCCACTGTTCTTCGATGTATATTTGAATGATATATTTCATATTGATTGTATGAGCAAAACAGTTTTTGCACATGATACTCTAGTCCTTTATAAAATTGACAATTGAGCTGACTTAAAAGACATAGTGGAAAATGATTTTGCCAAAATTATCCAGTTAGTTAATAACAGAAATTTTGCATCAATTACTCTAAAACGCATTTTTACTGTGTTTTTACTACTCTAAATATCTATGAAATTGCAGAAATATCTCTTTTTTCATAAATAATCAGATATTGTAAATTAATAGAGTATCCTATACAAAATACCTTGGAATATTCCTGGATCCACACTTGCGTTGGGATGTTCATATTTCATATATTTAAAAAAAAAGTTAGATTTGACTCATATACAATTAAATACCTCAAATATATTCTAAAATAGAAATACCTATATACCTTATGATCGCACATATTTAATCTACGGCATACTGGCATTTGAAGCTACATGACATATGCTTCAAAAGTCTTTCAAAAAATGATTTTAAAAACAATGTTCAAAAACCAAAATTTTATCTTACTGGTGTCTCGTTCAAAGATATTCACGTATACGATATGAGAAAAGTTTATCTCTTATATTCTATCACCAACTATTACAAATTTACTAGTAACAATAAAAAAATCAAATACCATGCAAGACAAACTACGACCCAGAACGAAGAAATCTCTAACACCTTTATTCAGGAGCAAAATTATACTTAAATTTACCTGATAATATAAAGAACCTAGGCCTTGGGAATAATTTCAAAAAATTGATATTTTCTTTAGCAAGGCCAGACATACATAGATTAATTATAAATTTAAATCTTAATTGATGCGTTGATTAGTTGTATCATTATTTGTGTTTCAATTCTATGCAAAATTGCAACATTGCTGGTACATGTACACGCGGTGCCTCATGTGGAGCCTTCTTGCATATTATTTACTCATTATTTATGTGGTGCTTAAGGAAAATAAATACAGGTGTCCAGAGGGAAAATTCATATTTCAAATTTGAATTACGCGGCTACCGTATCCGCGAGGAACTGGGAAGAGATCTTGATAGACACGTTCGACGTGCGGGTTAAATAGTTACAATGGAACGTTGGACCGGAGTGCAACGTGCTTTTGCTATCGAGGCTTATTTTAAGAGCGGTGATTCATACGCAGCCGCCCTTCGGAAATTTTGTACACGATACAACATCGCCGACCAAGAGATGCCCCAAGTAAGAGCCTACTGGATCAACCGAAAAAAATGTGCGTCGTGTAAGTGTTTCGGTCATTGCAAATCCTCGGCGTTCTGTACGGAAGCATTCCGGTGCTTTGGGAATTCCTAGGTTAAAACATAATGAAGAAAACAAGTGGGCTTTGATCCTCATGAAATTCAATCAGTCCATGCTTTAAAGGAAAGTGATTACGTATTACGGACATTTTGTACTGAACGGATGTTGAATCTCTTTCCTACGCAGTGCAGAATCGAGAACGTTGTTTTAAGTGTCGAAGATTTTCACTCAGACGGTTATGTGAAGAAGCAAAAATTGCTGATATTGGCTACTTAGTCCAAAGGTGACTGTTTGGTGCTCCATATCCTCTAGCGGTAGTATTGGGCCGTATTTCTTTGAAGATGAAAACGGTCATGCATTGACAGTCAATTCCGAGCGATACAAGGACATAATTAACACTTTTTTTGGCTCCTATTGTAAGAGCAAAACGTCGATATAACATAAACACATGGTTTCAACAGTATGGGACCCATACTTTCAGAGAATCGATGGACACGTTACAGCACTTTTTCCTCAAAAAGTTATATGGAAGTTTGGAGACATTCACTAACCTCCTAGGTCATCTGACCTCACGCCATGCGGTTATTGTTTGTGGGGTTATCTAAAGTCAAAAGTGTATTCTAATAATCCACGAACACTGCAGGAGCCTAAAGACAACATTCGACGAGAAATAAACATCACTCCGGAACTCACATGCCTATTAGCGTAAAATGAATCAATACATCTATTTATTAATTAACTGTCTCTAACAAAATTATTTTCTTGCTTATTGGGAATTTTAAGAAATTTTACTTGTTTGTTACAGAGACAATGATCGGTCGAGTCTAAACTGTGCATCTATGCTGAAAGGAGGCTGGTGGTGGAAGTCCTGCGGGAGAGGACTTAACGGCTTGTACTTGAATGATCCGCAAGACCTTACAGCTAGACAAGGTGAGAAAAAACCTAATTTAAATTTGCATATTTCATATCAAAACAATGAGTATCAAAGGGTACTTGGATATCGTTTTGAAATTAACAATTACTACCATCTATATCTCAAAATCTGTCTATTTTCAAATCATTGAAAATTTTTAATGTAGTGATCATGATGTTTATTAGCAAAATAAGCCACTATGTCAAAATTGCCTTTATACATAAAAATAGATCGATTACATCAAATTTTCTAGGATGGGAAAGTGAGAATTCACTTGAGGTGGCGCGACCCTTTTTTGTATTTTTGTTTTGAACTACCTGCTTGCAGCAGTTTTCTAAATCCTTTTCATCTGATAATTTCATGATGTTTATAGAGCAATGTTGTAATTTTTTTATCAAAAATGCATTTTTGTACAACTTTTCTTCAATCAAAACTTGTTAACAAATATGAGTAGAGATCTGAAATTTTGTGTGAATATTCCTCTTTTATGGAAGAATGAAACAAGTTATTACTTTTGTTATTATCACTTTACTTTTTCGAAAAATCTTTCATTTTGCTGAAGCCTCGTCTCGCATCAAGTTGGGTTTTCAAGAAAAGCGAAGATTTTTCGAAAAGAAAAAGTGATAAGAATAAAAGTAATCACTTGAGTCAATCATTCATAAAAGTATAATATTCACATTCAATTTCAGAGCTGTACTAATGTTTGTTAACAAGTTACGATCGACAGTAAAATGCACAAAAAAACGATGTTAGTAGTAGTCATCTCTATACACTTCATGAAGTAATTAGATGAAAAGGATTTAGAATAACTGTTGCAAATAGGTGGTTGAAAAAAAAGTGAAAAAAGGGATGTGCGGCCTCAAGCTCTTTGTATTTTGATACTAGAAGAATCAGCCAATAAGATTTCATCAGTTTTGCTATATACAAATATTTTGTATGGTATCCTTTGCCTCCCTCTGTACATTTACTCTTATGACATTTTTGAGTGAAACGCTATTTTGTTCCAGGCATTGTGTGGTTCAGATGGAAAGGTTGGGACTACACGTTGAAGAAATCCGTAATGATGATAAAGCCGAGAACCTTCGTAAGCGGTTCAGGCACTTAATGTAATGAGTATTAGCCAATTTATAATCACCGGTTATCATTACGTTTCATTGTAAAATATCATCACATCATTCACTATTTATTTTGAATTCACTCTCTGATTTTGGCTTCGAGAAATTGTTAAGGTACGCGTCCAAATATGCGCATCCGACGTATCGGAATAGTTAGCCGCGAGAACTCCCTTTCGGATTGTCCTGGCCAGTGCTGGTCAAAGTTGTTTTTCACGCGTACGACAGAGGAACGCGTGTTAGAAAGAGTGCACCATATAAGCGTCATCATCACGTTGCCTAGCAACTGTAGCCGACCAAGTTATCAATTTCTAAATTCGTTGAAAAAATTCATCATGCCGCCTAACATGTAAAAATTCAAAGAACTGGAGATATTAATGTTTCACTTTTTTTTATAAATTCAATTAAACTAGAGGAAACTTATATGCGAGATGTGTTTCTTACTTTTATAAAATTTTTATTTGAATTGTTATTATTAGTTTATTTGTTTGTTGTCAATGAGAATATACTTTTATTTTTTAGCTTGCATCAATAACTATACAGGAGTTTCCATTTTATGAATAAAACTACTACTACAGTTTCCCAGATCCTCGTAATAAACAGCACACAGCGGCAACTGTCCAACGATGGATGTTATCCTATAGCTTCCGTCTTCTCCAAGTGCGCACTTGCGCAGGCATTCATTCATTTCGCATTCGATATTGTCGTTGTTGCCGGTTGTACTCCGTATCCGGACAAAATAAAATTCGAACACTGAATTCGGATGCGATATCATTCATTCGTACTGTAACATAAGCCGGCAACACACCGCAGGCATTCAAATTCGGTATCGACCTCTGTGCCTCGGCATGATCCGAAGATTTCAATACCCGGCATCAACGGGTATTTTCATTTGAATTCTTACATCAATCACTAGGTCCAACCAGTATTGGCAGACGATTATTTTTTTTCTCCCTAGATAGTTTGCCAAAATTTCCCTAGATTTCCCTAACAACTTAATATTGTTTGTAATTTGGGGTAGGAGTATGGATAAGCAAATGCAAACAAATTTATTACGTATAATTAGTTTAATTAACGTAACAGGTATTTCTTAAAATATATAATATAAACTAAAATACATGATAACTTAAGTATGCATATTATAAAAATATAATACAAAATTTATTCTGTATAAATAGCGAACGCACGAACATAGCATAACATAAAATACTTTGTTTTTAAGAAAAAAATAAAGCAAAATAACCAAAAGATGGTATTATAATTTAATTTAGGGATGCTAAAGTTGTAGCAACTGTCATTTTTCAATAAAACTTTGATATGTAAAATTCCACTTAAACAGTCGATAATTTATTTCCTATTTTAGTTTTGTTTAGACTTATTTGGAAAATTATCGTTTCGATATTTGCATTTGAATGTGGCAAACTAAACAGATTAAACACAAAATTAGTTAAGGTTGGAAACATAAGAGAATCACCACCAGATTTTAATGTTGAAATTCTTTCCCAAAATTCTTGAACGCTTAAATTTGTATATTCACTTAAATCAAGATTTCTTAGGCAACGCAATTCTTTGTCTATTTCATTTACGTTATCAGTTGTCAAGTTGGGAAGATCGAAAACTAAAGGCCCTAATGATGCTTGTTTTTTGCAATTACTTCATATGGTAATATAAGTGACATACATATGTTTTACGGGAATCACCAATGAGGAATCACCGACGGGGAACAACACCGTTTCGTTTAGTAATTCCTCGAATGTTATGAGTTATGATTTCCGACCGGTTTGTTGATACAATTTGGTGTTCGTACATTTTAATATATTTTGAATTATATTTTATAGGTACAATCGGAAATTTTAAAAGTAACATATTTGTTTCTTAGTTTATTCTCTATCTCTCGTTTATTTTTTCTCCCTGCTGCTTAAATTTGTCTTACAGACTTTAGAATTCCCTAGATTTTGTACAAATTTAAATAAATTTCCCTTTTTCCCTAAGCTTGCTCGTAATTCCCTAGATATAGGGAAATTTCTCTAGGTCTGGTAACGCTGGGTCCAACGTTTCATTGCGACTAAACCGCACCCCGAACGCGTAGATCAAGACCTCTCCCCACTTCCTCGCGTATTCGGTTGCCGCCTAATTCAAATTTTAAATGCGACTTTTATTCCTTAAATACCAGATAAATAATCAGTAAATAAACATGAAAGACGTCTCCATAGCAGGCACCACATGTACATGCACCAGTAATGTTGCAATTGTGCATGGAATTGAAACACAAATAATGATACAACTAATCAACGAATCATTTAATATTCGTTGAATCTGTGTATGTCTGGGCTTGCTAAAGAAAATATCATTTTTTTCGAAATTATTCCCAAAACCTCTTTATATTGTCAGGTAAATTTACGTATAATGTTGGTCTTAAATAGAGGTATGATCGTGTTGTAGATTTGTTTGGTCTAGGTACAACCGCTCATCGTAGTTTGAGATGTGAAATTATCAATAAAAATTAGTCTCCTCTAGCTTGGCTTTCATTAAATTTATTTATTATTATTTAACTGAACCTAACTGAGTTGAAGAACAGAAGAGGCAACGTTCTGGGCAAAGTGAGTGTTTCAATGAGTTATGATTCTATCACACTATGTTATGTCCTACACGAGTCTACCTGCTATAGGTAGACAAGTAAAAGGTAACAGAATTGAAAATTCGAGTAGTCTCGGACCAATCCAGAAGTTGAAGTGTTGAACTGGATATCCGAACTATGAAGTCAAGTTCGTGTTACACAATGACGGTAGAGAAGAGCGCGGAACGCGGCTGTAACTCCTCCCCCCTTGTCGTTGCCTGGCAACGTGATGAAGGCGCATATATGACGCATTCTTTCTATCATGCTTCTGTCTCCGTCTCTCGCATGGAAATATAAAAACGTTCTAAAGTTCTAAAAGCGTTAAGCGCCAGAAGTTGATACGTGCCATGCGGAACTATGGACGCATACCCATACTTAATTTTGCAACTTTCTTATACAAATTTTAGTAGAAACATGAGAAAATACGTTTCTAGTTGGTTTGAATCTTCAAAAATATCTGAGGTACTACTATCAACAAACAATTATTCAGCTTTACCAGAAATGCAAAACTCAACTCTAAAATCATGCATTAAAAAATGTTTTATTCAGCTAAGATTTTGGTACTTGAGCTTAGATAACTTTACCTATTAAATGAAACGACGAATCTTTGAAAATGTAGTTACCAATAATAATGTAAATACCTATATTTTTGAAATTTGTGAATCTGTATATTTGATTTTACTTATTTAGTTCTTGTTTATGTTTTCCACTACAATGCCTAAACACTCTTTGTCTTAGGGCCGTATCGTCAGTCGTTCCTGCAGTTGCATTTGCCTTTATGGCCTGCTTGATTTTCATAGTTTTCCTCTCCGTCAGAAAGGCTGGGATATTTCTAGATTTCTACTGTTCCATATCAGCGTCAGCGCTCCCCTATATTCAGACTATATTTTCTTCTTGAATTGTAGGAAATTTCAGACTTTATAACAGACGTTATAAATCAAAAGCATTAACAATTTGATGCAAGTAGATATTTGTAACATAACCACATATTATACAGATGCGACACCTGCTGTCGGTCCCTTTGATCTTCGTGTCCCCCAACTGCTTACCACATTTCCCGCTTATGTTCATTAGCGTCCGGAGGATTTTTCCCTAGGGGTTGTTACGCGTTATTAACATTACGTCACGAATGTCATATGTCAAGCTACAGAACGAAGAAATTTGTGTTTATTATTACCCAAAATGCATTTAGGCTAGATAATTGATTTGTATTGATAAAACTGTTTTGTGGTCACGTGTCAATACACTAAATGTCACAGCAATAGGAATCCCACCAAACGCATAGAACTCAAGTAGGCGTTGATAGAACCTGATTTTTGCCAGAGTGTCGCCTCTGTATAATACTCTGTGACATAACCTCAAAATAGAACGCTGACGCGGGACAGTAGAAAACTATGAAAATCAAGGAGGCCATAAATGGATCCTTGATTTTTATAGGTTTATACTGTTCCGTCTCAGAGCTCCATTTTGAGGTTATGTTACAGATATCTATTTGCAACAAATTGTCGATGCTTTTGATTTATATCATATGTTATATCAGCCTGAAATTTCCTGCCTTTCTGAAGGAGAGAAAATACTATGAAAATCAAGGAGGCCAAAAGGCGTCCTACAATTATTGTAGGAAGCACTAACGATACGGACTTAAAAGATTCACTTGTTCCTCTTCGCTTTCTCTCTTATTTCTCTTAATGTCTCCCCTTTTTTCCTTAACATTGTCTGGTTACTTGGTTAACAAACCTGACACACTTACAAACTGATACGCTAACACAAGGGCTAAGGTCCTACAGACCGCTCTAACAATCAACGATGACTTGACTTGATGTTTTCCCCTCTTAACCAATTGAAGACACAAATGAATAAAGGTGTACTGGAATTGTTTTACAACATTCCTTTTTTGGCTTTAAACTAACCTTGTGGTTCTTTCATTATGTGATTACTTTATTGCAAAAACAAGATAACAAACTAATTAAACTAAATTTTTAAAATTTCAGTTAAATAAAAAGTCCCAATAAAAAAATGTTTAAAGTCAGTTTTCTTCATACAATGATTTTGTCTTCAGTTCCACTCAACATTTTACGAAAAATCTATCAGTTTCCGAGTGGAATGATTCATTTAGTATATAATATGTAGGCTATAAAAAAACTTATAATATTGCACTGATTTTATTTGTAACATATTAAAAAACGCGCATTTTGAGAAAAGGAACTAGGACTTTTGTCAAGCAAATAAAATAGCCAGAAAATAATACTGTGAAACAAAAGTGTACTATAGGTAATTCTTGAATACTTGCTTTACGTGCAGCACAAAAAGGTAAACTTAATAATTACTTATCCTACACTATTTTGTTTTAATATTTGATTTGTATTGTGCAATAGTTTGTGACGCAAATTTTGCGCTGTGTAATGAGTGTGCAATTTTCTTTAGCCATATTTGAAAATGTGCAATTATTGAACAAGTGACCTATACATCTGGACTATTATAGGGTTATGCAGCTAATGACCCAATGAATTGACGCTTCGGAATTGCGGTTGAGTTTTCACTGTACATTTGACTAACGTATGTTTGTACTTCCTAGTTCCTTTGACTATTAACTATAATTTTTTGGGCGATCAACCAAACGTGACTACTTATAGGCGATTACTTGTATCATTAATTCCTTCTGGTGCCTATACAGGGTGTTCCTTAATATTTAAGGAGGCGGTTCTTGAATCTGTTTTTAGAAAAAAGAATCATACGAACGTATATCCTAAACGTCTTAACTTTTGAAATACAGGGTGGTCAAAAATCTGTATTTTATAATAACTGTGGTACTGTTGTAGATATCTTTATGAAATTTGGTACTGGCCTATGCATCAAGTTGTATTTTCTGATGCAATTTTATTATTTCTACCAGTATCGTCCGTACGGGTTTCCAATTGAATATTTTTTGAAAAAAAAATGTTGCGCCACTGCTTTTTCTTTAAGTAAAAATTATTTTTTAAATCTTCGCTTATATCTTAGCAAATTTATTCTCTTGATTTTCTTTCGTCCGATGCATGGATTTTGTTTGAAAAATAAAAATCGTTTTAATTCAGGGTTTTTAATTTTTAATTTTTTAAGCGAAATGCACTCGTCGGACGAAAGAAAATCAGGAGTTCGAATTTGTTCAGAAATAAATGAACGTTTCAACACCGGTTCTTATTTAAAGAGAAAATAGTGGCGTACCATTCTTCCTCCAAAAGTGTTCAATATAAAACCTGTACGGACGGCACTGGTATAAATAACAAGTTTTTCCTAAAATGTATCCTGCAATAAGTTCCTTGAATATGAGCGTGTCATTAAGGAACACCCTGTACAGACATTTATAGGATATCTCAAAACTCTATGGAAGAAAAAAATGTGTTCGTCTAGGATACCAATTCTTAAAAATTATTAAGTATTCAATAATAATAATAATAATAATAAAAATAATTCAATTATTTTTCGAGACGTTTCGGAAAGCTTTCGAAGTTTGTCAGATACATTTGCAATGGCATCTACTTTCAGCAAAATGCTTGGGTTATTAATATAATTATTCCATCACAGACTTGAATCTGATGGACGTCAACGGCACTTTTTCTCCTGCTATTTGTCAAGAGAATGACTTAAGGCCGCACGTCCCTTTTTTTCAACTACCTGTTTGGAACAGCATTCTAAATCTCGTCTGGTTACTTCATTATGTGTATAGAGATGACTAAAAGACATTGTTTTTAATTTTGTTTTGTCATAAAATGCATTTTTTGTGCATAGTATTGTGGAATTTTTCTTCGATCATAACTTGTTAACAAATATTAAAACAACTCTGAAATTATATGTGAATATTTCACTACTTTTATGGATGAATGAAGCAAGTGATTAATTTTATTCTTATCACTTTTTCTCTTCGAAAAATCTTTGCTTCAAGAAAATCAAAGATTTTTCGAAAAGAAGAAGTGATAAGAACGAAAGTAATCACTTGTTTCATTCTTCCATAATTTGTTAACAAGTTCCGGTTGAAGAAAAAATGCACAATAAAATCCACAAGAAATGCATTTTTTCACCAAAAAATGGAAACATTGTTTTTTAGTCATCTCTAGACACACCATGAAATGATCAGATTGAAAGGAGTTAGAATACTGCTGTAAATCTAAAAAAGGGACGTGCCACCTTGAGAAGCGACTATTCTATAAAAAAAAGCTATAAAATACGATTTTTCGAAAAGTAATAGAATAACGCCCTTCCTACCAATACTTCTACTTCCTTATTTTCAAGAAATGGCATCCAGAATGAATGTCCATTATTCATGAAACATCCTGTATAAAATCTCGATAGTGTTTGACAATACCAATCAATCTGCTTACGATTGGTTGATCGTGCGAATTTGATATTGTAAGTACTCCTATTTCCGTTGATTATAAATTGGATATATTTTTGTATATATTTCAAACAGAAAAGTATGAGCTACGGAATAAAGACTGCAAACTTATCGAAAAAATATATTTTTTATTTCATCGATAAGTAAATGTATTGTGTAATACGTAAAATATTAGGTTTTGTATTTTTTATGTCGAGGCTACGGGACACGAAATGCAATGTTCATATTGTGCGTTCTAATAAAAGGAACACTATAGATTATTTACCTAATTTTTCCCTTTAGTTTGTATTATTATTTGTATTATTATATTGTAAATAATATAAATTCGTCAGAGTTATTTTTTATAAATAAATTTTAATATAAACCTTACGTAAAATGAAATATGTTTTTATACCACAATCCCTTAGCCCAATAACGTAACAGGTGAAGAGTAGGGAGTGGGGCAGTAATAAAAAACATTTCCTGGATCCCGTACTGCGAGCTCTGTGAACGCCCCTGTGAATATAGTCTTCGCAAGTATATTAGGCAACCGCTGTCTCCTCCTCCTTAAACAGGATCCTCATTACGTTTCCCATTACCTCCTCGCATTGCTCTTATACGTCAGTATACTGTCAGTATTATCATGTTTTGAAAATTGTTGCGTGAATGTGTGCAATTCAATCAAAGCGGAATATCTCTATCAGGACCGCAGAAACGGCAATCGGTGTACGCGCCAGTAATCTGTAATAATTAGGAGCAACCTACGTATCCCATACCTCTTCGCATTTCTGTTGTCCTGGTAGCAAATATCTTTCCTGGAAAGTTTATTTAACGATGCTTTTCGTAAATATGCGATATTCAGTCATTGAAAATTCTGTATCAGGACCGCAGATATGGCGAGATTTGCTCTCGCTGGTAATTTGTAACGTTAGGAGCACGTTTCACATACCTCCTCGCCTTTCTGTTATCCTGATAACGAATCTCACTCAAATATTTTGTCAGCATTGTTACGAGTATGCGTGCTATTTAACTATAGCGACATATCTCTATTAGGATGGCAGAAATGGCGACTGGTGTTCGCACCAGTAATTTGTAGGTATTAGGAGCAATCTACGTATCCCATACCAACTCGCATCCCTACTGTCGTGGTAGCAAATATCTTTCCAGATGAGTTCATTTAGCGAAAAACACTAAGTAAATATGCACAATTCAGACATTGAAAATTCTGCATCAGAGCCGCAGATATGACGCGACGTGCATACGCCGGTAATTTGTAACGTTAGGAGCAGTGTCTGTTTCTCATACCTTCTCGCCTTTCTGTTATCTCAATTATGAATCTGACTTAACTAGCTTGTCATCATGTTTTGAAAAAGGCTACGAGTATCTGTACTAGTCAAACATAGCGAAGTATCTCTATTAGGATCACAGAAACGGCGATCGGTGTTCGTGCCAGTAATTTATAATAATAGGAGCAACCTACGTATCCCATACCTCCTCGCATTTCTGTTGTCCTGGTAGCAAATTTCTTTCCTGGAAAAGTTATTTAACGAAAAACCATACGTGAATATGTGACGTTCAGTCCTTGAAAATTCTGTATCAGGACAGCAGATATGACGAGAGGTGCTCGCGCCGGTAATTGGTAACGTTAGGAACAGTGTACATTTCTTATACCTCCTCGCGTTTCTGTTATCGTGATTACGAATCTGACTTAACTAGTTTGCCATCATGTTTTGAAAAAGGCTACGAGTATGTTTGAACCATAGCGAAAAATCTCTATTAGGATCGCAGGAACGACTACCGGTGTTCGCGCCGGTAATTTGTAATATTAGGAGCAACCTACGTATCCCACACCTTCTCGCATTTCTGTTGTCCTGGTACCAAATATCTCTCCTGGAAAGCTTATATAACGAAAAATACTATGTGAATATGCGATATTCAGTCATTGAAAATTCTGTATCAGGACCGCAGTTATGGCGAGAAGTGCTCACGCCGGTAATTTGTAACGTTAGGAGCAGTGTACGTTTCTTACACCTCCTCGCGATTCTGTTATCCTGATCGCGAAGCTTGCTTAACTAGTCTGATATCACGTTTTGAAAACTACGTAAATTTATGCTATTCAATGGAAACTGCCTATTAGGAGTGCAGAAACGACGAGCGGTGTTCGCGCCAGTAATTTGTAATATTAGGAGCAACCTACGTATCCCACACCTCCTCGCATTTCTGTTGTCCTGGTACCAAATATCTTTCCTGGAAAGCTTATATAACGAAAAATACTATGTGAATATGCGATATTCAGTCATTGAAAATTCTGTATCAGGACCGCAGTTATGGCGAGAAGTGCTCACGCAGGTAATTTGTAACGTTAGGAGCAGTGTACGTTTTTTACACCTCCTCGCCATTCTGTTATCCTGATTACGAATCTGACTTAACTAGTTTGTCATCATGTCTTTAAAAAGGCTACGAGTATGCTTGAACCATAGCGAAAAATCTCTATTAGGATCGCAGAAACGACTACCGGTGTTCGCGCCGGTAATTTGTAATATTAGGAGCAACCTACGTATCCCACACCTCCTCGCATTTCTGTTGTCCTGGTACCAAATATCTTTCCTGGAAAGCTTATATAACGAAAAATACTATGTGAATATGCGATATTCAGTCATTGAAAATTCTGTATCAGGACCGCAGTTATGGCGAGAAGTGCTCACGCCGGTAATTTGTAACGTTAGGAGCAGTGTCTGTTTCTCATACCATCTCGCCTTTCTGTTATCTCAATTATGAATCTGACTTAACTAGCTTGTCATCATGTTTTGAAAAAGGCTACGAGTATGTGTACTAGTCAAACATAGCGAAGTATCTCTATGATTATCACAGAAACGGCGATTGGTGTTCGTGCCAGTAATTTGTAATATTAGGAGCAACCTACGTATCCCATACCTCCTCGCATTTCTGTTGTCCTGGTAGCAAATATCTTTCCTGGAAAAGTTATTTAACGAAAAACCCTACGTGAATATGCGATGTTCAGTCCTTGAAAATTCTGTATCAGGACCGCAGATATGACGAGAAGTGCTCGCGCCGGTAATTGGTAACGTTAGGAACAGTGTACATTTCTTATACCTCCTCGCGTTTCTGTTATCGTGATTACGAATCTGACTTAACTAGTTTGCCATCATGTTTTGAAAAAGGCTACGAGTATGTTTGAACCATAGCGAAAAATCTCTATTAGGATCGCAGGAACGACTACCGGTGTTCGCGCCGGTAATTTGTAATATTAGGAGCAACCTACGTATCCCACACCTCCTCGCATTTCTGTTGTCCTGGTACCAAATATCTCTCCTGGAAAGCTTATATAACGAAAAATACTATGTGAATATGCGATATTCAGTCATTGAAAATTCTGTATCAGGACCGCAGTTATGGCGAGAAGTGCTCACGCCGGTAATTTGTAACGTTAGGAGCAGTGTACGTTTCTTACACCTCCTCGCGATTCTGTTATCCTGATCGCGAAGCTTGCTTAACTAGTCTGATATCACGTTTTGAAAACTACGTAAATTTATGCTATTCAATGGAAACTGCCTATTAGGAGTGCAGAAACGACGAGCGGTGTTCGCGCCAGTAATTTTTAATATTAGGAGCAGACTACGTTTCCCATACCTGCTCACGTTTCTGTTATTCGGATAGCAGATGCCGTCTTCTCTTTACAGAAAGCAGAAACCTTTTTTATTGGTTCAGCTGTAGGCATGAATGTAAATCGCAATCATAGCTGCCTGTTGTAACGATTAAAAGGTAGGTATAAACGTGAGTTATAGTTTAGCTTTACATTCATAGTCACCAAACGTACCGATTCCTTCTTTACCGACCGAGTAGTATGCATGAATGTAAGTTATAGTTCAACTTTACAATCATAGGTGTCAGCTTGTGCAGATACCTACCTTATCAGCAGAATAGTAGGTATAAACGATAACAAGAGTTTAGCTATATACTCATAGATGTCCCTAGGCTGTACCGATTCACGATTCCTATTCTATAGATTGAGTAGTAGATACAATTTTGGCATCACAGATATTGTCTAGCTTCAAGATTCACCTCATTTCGAGATATTTCGCTAACGGCAGAACCTTTTCTCATACAACAAATGAATCAAAAATGTAATTTAGTATTCTGAATGTATAGTGCTTATGTTGCAATTATCATAATTGCCAATGCAAAAAACAAAAGTCATTTTCCGATACCGGGAATCGAACCCGAGCCTCCTGGGTGAGAGCCAGGTATCCTAGCCACTAGACCATATCGGACAACCACTTACATTTTCCCTAAAGCGCTACTCACTATTGCAGTGATCCGATTTATTAACAGATGGGCAATATCAGGTTTATTAGGAGAAAATCTGGGTCTGGAAAGATTCCACACGCAGGGTCTTGTGACCCCCTGAATAATCAGTTTTTTTTTTGGCGGTTCGGATTATCTGATTTTGCTCGAGATTCCTTAGCAGCAGGTGATCATTTTCCAAATCGAGATCCTTGTATCCTGTTAGACTGATAATAAATCTACCCATTCAGTTTTGGATTTTGTAAGTGATTAGGCAACCGTTTGAAGGAACAGACAGGTTTTTTGCGTCTTGAACTGCCTGCATCTGTCTCCTTAAGCAGGATCATAATTGCATATCCCATACCTCCTCTCGCGTTTATGTTATCGTGACAGCGATTCGAACTTATTTACATTTTATGAAAAAGGTAAATTCGACATCCAATCATTAAAATTATGTATCAGGACCGCAGATATGACGATCAGTGCTCGCGCCGGTAGTTTGTAACATTGCGTGCAGTGTACGTTCCTTGCGTTTCTGTTATCCTGATACCGAATCTCAACTAGTTTGTATCATGTTTTGAAAAAGACTTGTGTATAGAAAAATCTATATTGGGATCGCAGAAACGGCGAGCGGTGTTCGCGTCAGTAATTTGTAGTATGGTATATAGTTTCCTACACCTCCTCAAGTTTCTGTTATACTGATAGGAAATCTTGCATAGCGAGCTTATTTTATGAAAAAGACTATGTGAATATGCGATATTCTGTCATTCAAAATTCTGTATCAGGACCGCACATACGACGAGAAGTGCTCGCGATTAGGAGCAGTGCACGTTCCTCGCGCTTCGGTTATCCTGATAGCGAATCTTGCCTAGCGAGTCACAGAAACCGCGAGAGATGATCACGTCAGTAATTTGTTCTACTAGGAGCAGTATACGTTTCCCGCATCTCGCATTTCTGGTAGCAAATCTTCCCTAGCGCGTTTATGTTACGAAAAAGGCTATGAGAATATATAATCATCTAAACTTCTGCGACAGGATCCCAGAACCAACGAGAGGTGTTTGCTCCAGTAATTTGTATTAGGAGTGGAGTATGTATCCCATACCTCCTCGCATTTCTGCTGTCCTGGTAGCAAATCTTGTCTGGTAAGTTTATTTTAGGAGAAACACTATGTGAATACACGATATTCACTTACTGAAAACTTTGTACCTGGATCGCTTATACACCGAGAACTGGTCGCACCGGTGACTTGTAACATCATGAGAACTGTAAGTTTCTCATACCACCTCGCATTTCTGTTATTCTGACAGTGAATCTCACTTAACTAGTTTGGTGCCATATTTTGAAAAAGACTACGTGAATGTGTGATATTCAGCAGAAACGACGAGCGGTGCGCGCGCCAGTAATTTGTAATATTTGCAGCAGCGTACGTTTCCCATACTCTCACATGTCTGTTATTCTGATAGCAATCTTACTTAGCTATTTTGGAAAATGAATGTGTGGTTTTCATTGAAAATTCAGGATATCATAAAATAAATAGTCATGGAATAAAGAAGTTTCATTTTTTCAATAGATCTATTTATAAAAGTATAAAATAAATATATTAATATAGCTCATCTAACATTTTTATGTATTCGAAAATTTTCCGACACATGGATTAGGATAAAATAAGGTTTTAAAAAGAAATTCGGTAAGAGCACACCGAAATCCATGAGAGGTCAAGCTTTCAACTTCCCAAGTGACCAAATGAGCACCAAATTAATTGACTGCAGTATCTCCGTATCAAAAAGTGAAAAATTCGCATGACACACCTATCAATCTTGCGATGGTTCTGATGACATAGCCTCTCGATTCTCGTACGTCCAGAAACCATGAAACTCTATTAAAATACTGACAAAAGTGTCTCCTTGGCCACAAGCCACAAGATCGGCCAATGTGATTTTCTCGGGATCGGCAGGTCGAACCATATCAAAAAGCTCGTCTTTTACATCTTCAAAAGAAACTGCTTCTGAACCGTGAGCCTTCATCTGCTCTTGAATACCTCTGGAATAAAAAAATACAAAAGTTAAACAATACTCGGTGACAGGTATTTACATCAAGGCCAGCATTTGTTTGCAACGTCTACTTAAATAAAAAAATCGGAAAAAACGCATTTATCCTTATTTCCAAGAAAACAAATGTAACAAATGTGATACATCGTTGAATTCGTAGAAAAAGATGATATTAAATACAGGGTGTACTTTTTCTTGGACCATGTAAAAAATAAAGTTGATGATGGTTTCTCAAAAACGAACCATCAGGAATATAATTTAAAAACATCATCATGTAGTGCCTGAAAAGTGACAATCGAAAAGTTTAATTAGTTTTTGATATTGCTTAGTATAAAGTCAGAAGAAAATAAAAATCCCAGTATACCATGAAATTTTTAAAAGTTTCTAAACAGCATGTAAATATGCCCCAAAAGAAAGCAACTTTTTACAAATTTAACCTAAGCTGTTTCCGCCACACGTATTGAGATCCCCATGTACGGACACTCTGTATATAGGTTGGTCTCTAACTGCTACGAAATTTTACCACTTTAGCTATGCTACTATGTTCAGGAGAAGAGTATCACTTTTGTTGCAACTAAGTTCGCAACTTCCCTAAATGTGGTTGGAAGAATTAAACCATATAATCTGGTGTAAGTAACTTTGCAAGTATATTTGGGTAAAAGTTCGAATGGGAGAAGAATTACCTGAAAAAATAATTGAGAGTGAAAGCATCCAAATATCTCTCTTCTTTGATGTCCAATATTTTGAAGAGGAATGCCAGTGCCTGGGGTTCAGCTCTGTTCTCCAATGCCAATACTAGATCTAGGTAAGTCTTGTAGTCCATTTCTCCTGCGTATGTTAAACAAGTTTCAAATACCCTATCTGCAAAAAAAATTATAAACAGTTAATGAATACAGGTAGAAACTATTTTTAAGTTAGGTTCCACTGATAGGATCTAGCATATTCAGTGCTTTAACAAAGACTTTACCTAAAAATGGTTTGGTCAGGGTTCCTGAGCCGTAACTAGCCAATTCAGTTTTGCTGAGCATTCCATTATGGTCTCTATCCAAGTTCAAATAATGCCCATAGACCTTCAATGCAGAAGGCGCACTAAACCAATTTTGTTCTTGCGTCTCCTTACTCAAGTCCTCATCTCTTAGTTCTAGCAGTTCATCCAAAAACGAACAAGCCAATATATCTGAGAAGTCATAGGATTATGAATGTTTTCATTGGTTCTCAAGTTCAGCAGGCAAGACATTATTTTAAATTCCAAGAAAGGTGACACTAACAAAGGGTTTATTATGGATTGCATCCAAATCCTGTTCTCAACCTAGATACCACATAGTCAAGGATTCTCCATATGAGTTCTGATGAAGGTACAATTTTTTCTGACCTGTCAAATGTGTTGAATGTACTTTATTATAACTCATCAACTTACCTAATATTCGAATCCTCCCAGCTCTGGCAACATCTAAGAAGAACAGAAATTTACTAACTGCAGTACAAACATAAAAGCTGTGAAAAGACTCTTCCAGTCCTTTGAGCTGAGGTAGATTAGGCAGTAATTCTATGATGTAGTTCTCCAAATCAGTGGATGTAAGGTAACCCTGACCTGTGGCATCAAACAGTGATAGTCCTACTCGGGTCTGGTCTAACCACACCTTATGCATCACATAATTGAAGATGGACATTATTGGGATTCTGCCTTGAGGGTCACCTTGTTGCAGCTTTGCAAATGTGTGGGCTGAAATATCAAAATTAACTGTATGTTATTATTATTGTTCGCGTATGTTTCAATAGGTAAGAAAACCTTGAAGTACAATAATTATTTTGTTTATACCGAGCCAGCCGCGTAGGCAGAAGAATAAATACCAGGGCACCGCGGCTGCTATGAGGAGTTTAAAGAAACTTTATTATCTGCTTTTTGAACTGCCTATGGTTAGTAGCACCCCAAACATGTGAGCAGTATTTTATCTAGGCCTTGTACAGAGTAAGGAGGTTATGTTGAAAAAAGCACCTAGCTCTAAAAAAATAGCCTAGTGTTTTCTCAGCAGCTTGCCATTATGTGTACGTGCCAGATCAAATCCTCATCGATCTGGATTCCGACCAGCCAAAAAAAAAAAGCGGCTCTGTGGTAGAAGTCGACCATCTATTGAAACCGTATGAGCACTAGTGTGTTCCTTGTCAGTCAAAGTACTGCGTTTTAGAAGTATTAAACTGTACCAGGTTGTTACATCTCTCAAGGTCTCTCGTCAGAGAGAAAGTCACTGCTAGTCTTCTTTTCTCCAGCAGTAGAGATTGATTTGTCACTTTGAATTCCAGAAAGGTTGTCATTGATATGTAAGAAGAACAATGTCAGAGCCAAGACTGATCCCTGAGGAACACCTGTTTGGACATTAAGGGATGAAGATGAGAACCTGTCAGTTACGACGAATATTTACAGCCAGGAAGGACGTCAGCCATATGCAAAACTAATCAAGCCATTACATTCAAGACACTCCATCACCTTACTGATTACAGAAAGCAAAGCTATAGGCCTGTGGTTGTAAATCCCTTTTTTGAGATGGGTTGGACATAAGCAAATATCCAGTTTTCTGGGAAGGTGCCGGATTCGTAAAATATCTGGAAGAACCATGAAAGAATTGGAGCAAGCTCCACTGTACACCTCTTCAATACAATGATAGGACTCAAGTCTGATCTAGAAGCTTTCTTGATGTTGAGCAACAAGGGCACCCATCTTACAGTCTTATGCCTGAATATTACTTCCCACGTGGTGTAGGGAACCCTTTGAATCAGGTGTTGGGGGAAATTCATGGTCGAGTTGACAGCAAAAAAGTTGCTAAGGCAAGCACTTATGCCTTAATATTTGAGTCAGTTACAATGGTTCTATCTTGATATGACAGTGGTGGAGGCCACTCTGTGAGAAGCTCCCTTCAATCTGCTGAGCCAGCATTCAGAACGACTAGGCTGCGATATTACCCTGTGCCTAATTATTTACATCATACTGGTCTTTGACACCCTGTTATGTGTTTCTGGACTATTACACATGGTTTTGGAAAATTATGTACCTGTTAAGTATGGCTTTACTTTCTCCCTAGCCAATGATTGTACTTTCTGAAAATCAGCATAGGTCATCAGTTGCTCTTCAGGAAAGCTCTGGTTTTGATCTAATAATACATATAGCTCTTTTAAATCATCATTATCAAGTAGCTGCAAACTTTTCCTTTTAAATAAATTTGTCCTACAAAAAAAGTTTTTTATAATGTTTTTACCAGAGTAGTGCTTTCTACATTGTTGAATGAGATAATGCACAATACTGGGTTCTTCTAATATCTAGCTAAACTGTAGAACTATGATTCACCTGGCTGCATCTCTCAGCTTCATCCGTAAAGGTTCAGTTTCTTTGGGGATCCTTTCAAAAAACCTTGGAATGCCTTTTGGTGGGGCCTGCCGTTTTGCAGTCCACTCCTTGAGACACTGCTGAAACTTTGAATCCTCAATTGCTTGCAGCTCTTCTTTCGATTTACCTGCAACTGTATAGAAAGATCATTACCAGTCACAACGCGAGAGTATCTTTCTAATACTATAGAAACGAGAAGTAAATAATGGAATTTGTCAAGTGAGTTACAAAAATTTAAATATTACCTTTAATTTCTTCTAGTCGTTTCCGTAATAGTGCTAACTGTGGAGCAACACTCATGTCGGAAAATAATCACAACACAAAACAACGAGTCTCTGCAGTGCTAGTATAGCTTGTAAGTACTAGAATAATCTTTTATTTACATTCGGAAAAAATATTTTCAAAATTTATATGTAATAAACAGTTTCACAACCAAACTTCTGCACAAATAATCATACTTTTACCAGAAACAGAAACCTTCCTTAACCTTTCAGCAGTAGGCATGAACGTCAATAATAGTTTAACTACACAATCATAGATGCCGATCAAAAAGTAGGCATCAACATCAATGCTAATTATAGTTTAGCTTTATATTTATAGATGTCACTAAACGTACCGATTCCTTCTATTCCGACCGAGAAGTAGGCATGAACGTCAGCTCTAGTTCAGCAATACAATCATAGGTGTCTGTTTTGTGTAAGTCGACATAATACTAGGCATGAACGTTAATAAGAGTATAGATGTATAGATGTCACTAACTGTTTCGATTCCTATTCTATTGAGTAGTAATTACAATTTTGATCTCGTAGATGTCAGGTATACATTTTCAGCTGGAAGGTTCAACTCATTCTCAACGACAGGGTCCTTTGACTGAATAAAAAATAAAATTTAGTGTTTCGAACCTATAATCAGCATGTTGCAATTTTTATAATAATAAATTCTAATCCAAAAATAAGTAAAAAAAAATTCCGATACCGGGAATCGAACCCGAGCCTCCTGGGTGAAAGCCAGGTATCCTAGCCACTAGACCATATCGGAGAGCTACCTCCAAGTTTCCTAAATCTCTACTGACTATTCTAATAAGCTGATATATAAATTTTATATATATGAACAAAATTGGTCCGAAGAGATTCCACACGTAGAAACATCTACCCCCTGAATAATTAAATGACAGTTTTTTTGCACTTCGGATCCTCCGATTTTGTTCGAGATTCCTTAACCCTGTAAGACACCTTGTAGCCATATGTCTACAACGATCTTTTAGGTATCTTCTAACGTTTTCTATCCCTTGTACACTCTATTGCTCGATGTAGACATGTGGAAACAGCCTCAAGTTAGGCGCAGTTACCATCCGCCATCTATTAGCGAAATCGAGAAATAATTTTTTAATATGTCAACCGGCAGCTGTTCAGTTCGTTTCGCCGGCGTCGTTGCACTGGCGTGTTTGAGAGATAATTAGGTAGGTAAATTTTCATAAAATACATTAGTATGATATAATATTGGTTGTACATGTCCAAAACACATAATACATGGTAAGATTATCCAAAGTAGCATAGGAGAGTATAGAAAATGAAGTTTGAAAACGATTGTAGCCATATGTCAACATTGAACCTTCATGGTTGAGCCAATGTAAGATACTGTTTTATCCATTTTTGTTTCGTTGCAGCTTGAAAAATGGATCCTTTCGAAAATCTAAAAACCATTTTGGGCGAGGTCTTTTTACAAAAAGAAGACAGACTTTATACCTGTATTGCCGGCTAATCTAGAAATATCCGATATTTCAGATAAAAGTGATTCCGATAATGAAAATTTGGAAGATGATGTGTTACGCCTCGGAAGTAATGATGCAGATGATGTAAATCCGTTGCCTTGCTCAAGTAGGTCTACAGTTGAAGTTATTCAGAATAACAGTAGCTCCTCGGATGAGTCAGATGACGAAGAAATAAAACCAATAGCTTCTAAAAGAAGGAAGAAGAGCAATCGAAGGATCCAAAAGGCTGATGTCGTATATAATTGGGTAGAGGAAGATTTACCTAATTTTGAAAAACCTACGTCAGATGTAAACTTTGGAGATGATAATTATCATTATCCATTACAGTACTTTTTAGAGTTTTTCTCATATGAATGCATTGAACTGATAGTGAAGGAATCAAATTTGTATTGTACTCAAATGACTGGGAAAAGTCTAGATACAGATAACAAAGAAGTTACTAATTTTATTGCTATCCTTATCTACATGGGCGTCATTTCTCTTCCTAGTTACAAAGATTATTGGTCGGCTACTCTAAGAATTGAATCTATAGCGAATGTTATGTCACTAAGGAGATTCAAACAATTACGCAGATATATACACTTCAATGATAATTCTTTAGTTGGCAGTTCTCAAGATAGGTTTTATAAAATTAGACCGCTCTTGGACATAGTCAACAGAAACTGCTCTAAGTTTGAGATAGAAAATCGTTTCTCCATTGATGAGACAATGGTACCGTACAAAGGTACACGGGCAGGTAACCTTCGTCAATATATGAAAAACAAACCACACAAATGGGGTTACAAATTCTTCATGAGAGCTGGAGTATCGGGATTGATTTACTCTTTTATTCCATATCAAGGGAAAAATACTTTTTCTTTATTAGATGGCACTGCCATGCAGTTAGCAGAAAATGAACTGGCTATGGGAGTTGGTAGTAGCGTAGTTATTGCTCTCACTAAAACCATCCAAAACCCAGCTCACAGCATTGTGTACTTTGACAATTATTTTTCGAGTGTGAACTTATTTTTATATCTAAAGCACAGATTCAACATTTATAGCTTAGGAACTCTTCGGAACAATAGACTAAATGGCTGCCAGCTGATATCTGATAAGGAATTGCTAAAAAAAGGCAGAGGAAAGTATGACTACAAGTCCACAAACAGGGAATGCATAATTGTCAAATGGGCTGACAATAAATGTGTTTTGATTGGAAGTACAATTCATGGTGTATCCCCTGAAAATACGCTTCGTCGATATTGCAAAGAAAAAAAAGGTAAAACGAATATACCTTGTCCATCCATTATTATGGAGTACAACAGGCATATGGGAGGTGTTGATAAGTCAAATTCGCTGGTCGGGCTTTACAGAACTCCTGGTCGTGCTAAGCGGTGGTACTTCCCGATTTTCGCCTATATCATCGACATGTGTATAGTCAACGCATGGTTACTATACAAAGAGAACAATAAAAATGAAAAGAAGTGTATGCCCCTAAAAGAATTTAGATGTGATATTGCAAAGGGCTTGTCCACCACTGGGAAACCGAAACCTGGAAGGCCGGTATCATCACCTAAGTCCAATTCAATAATAATACACCCAGTCGTTCCAAGACCTTCAGATGTTACCAGAAAGGATACTGTTGGTCATTGGCCAGTTCATACGACAAAGGGAAGATGCCGAATGTGCACTACGGGATTTTCTCGAATAATGTGCCGAAAATGTATGTGTCGGCTATGCCTAAATGATAAAAATAATTGTTTTGTTCATTTTCATCTGTGAGATAGATTCCTTTATGTTATAATTTTCACATTTGTCTCACCTTGTATATTTTTTATACGGAATATATTGTTTTTCGTTTTTGATGGAAATACTTTGATTTTTTTTGTAATAAAATATTATTGCAATTTTTAATGTGTTTTGTTACAATTATATTTTTAATCCGCTTATAGACCGTAACGGTCAATGTTGACATTTGGCAACAATTGCAAAGTACACTTTCTAATAACAATGACTTCAATATATGGATCTAAACTTGTTCCTACAGTGATTTTTTATAGCCAGTGAAAATTTACGAATTTTAACTTAAAAAATAATAGGAGTGAACCTTACAGGGTTAATAGCAGGAAAACATTTTCCAAATTGACATCTTTACATTCCTATATCCTGATACCAAACCACGCCAAACTAGTTTTGTAAAAAGGATTGGTATGTAAATGGCTGATATTCAACCATTTAGAAGCGCGTATCACGACCAGAGTGACTAATTACACTAACTATTGTAGTCCTTGACTTTGTCTGGTTTCTGGGCAACCAGGACTGACAGATTCGACTAACGTACATCAGACAGTGACTAATGGGCAAAGGTCCTACTGACCGCCCAGACAAATAAATGACGAATAGTAGTAACTATTGTAGTGATCTGATACATTTATGGAAAGTCAAAATCATGTTTACTGGGAGAAAATCCGGGGCAGGAAAGATTCCACACGCAGAGTCGTGTGCCCCTTGTATACTTAAATGGCAGTTTTTTGCGCTTCAGGTCCTCTGATTTTGTCCGAGATTCCTTAGTAGCAGAACATTTTCCAAATCGACATCCTTGGATTTCTGTCATCCTGACAGTAAATCTTGCCCATCCAGTTTCGCAGAAATGGCGAGAGGTATGCATGTATATTAGAAGCAGTGCACGTTTTCCATACCTCCTCGCGTTTCTGTTATCCCGATAGCAAATTTTAACCAGCTATATATTTCTCTCATTTTGTAAAAATGATTGATGTGTAAATGTATATTCAGTCATTGATGAATGTGTATCAGGATCGCAGAAACGATGAGAGCTGTACGCGTCCGTGATTTCTAATACTAGGAGTAGCGATCGTTTTCAACACCTCCTCGCGTTTCTGTTATCCTAATAAAATTTTATTTAGCTGGAATCTAGCTAGATTTGTCTGAATTTGTAAGAAATATTGAGGTCTGAATGTGTGATATTTTTTGAACTAATTTTAACTGTGTATCAGGACCGCAGCTCACGACGAGAGGTGCTCGAGTCTGTAATTTGTAGTAGTACATACCTCCCCGCGTTTCTGTTATTCTGATAGTAAATTTTACCCAGCTAGATTTGTGTCATGTTATAAAAAGGATTGATGTTTGAGTATCTGATATTCAGTCATTGAAAATTGTATATCAGGATCGCAGACATGACGAGAGATGTTCGCATCTATAATTTGTAATACTGGAAGTGCGCGTTTTACATACCTCGCGATTTTGTTATCTTAATAGCAACTTTTCCCCAGCTAGTTGTATCTCATTCTGTAAAAAAGATTAATGTGTGAACCTGTGATAATGATCATGTATCAGGATCGTAGTATAAGTATTCTACTACATTAGCAGCATTTGCTCCTTCAAGAAAATATCAAATTTTTGAAAATATAGATTATAGAACCTAGAACTGCTGAAAATAGATACTAAATGAATAACCTACATTCAGAATAAAAAAGCTCGGGAACTCAAATGAATAAAAAAATTAACTTAACCTTTTGAATGTATAATGAGCATGACTGCTATTGCAAAAATAAAAAGAGTCGTTTTCCGATACCGGGAATCGAACCCGAGCCTCCTGGGTGAAAGCCAGGTATCCTAGCCACTAGACCATATCGGACAGCCACTTTAATTTTTCCTCAAGCACTACCAACTATTGTAGTAATCTGTCACATTTTCAGATGGTCAACTTCATGTTTACTGGGAGAAAATCTGGTTCAGAAAAGATTCCACACGTAGAGTCGTGTGTCCCTTGAATAATTAAATGGCAGTTTTTTGCTCTTCGGATCCTCTGATTTTGTCCGAGATTCCTTAGTAGCGGGAGAACATTATCCAAATCGACCTCCTTGCATTCTTGATATCCTGACAGTAAATCCTATCCATACAGTTTTTGATTTTGTAAGGGAAGTTTGTGTAAAGTGCGTTTAGCTATACGAGAATCCTGTATGAAAATCGCAAAAATGGCGAGAGGTATACGAAAAATTGATTTATAATATTAGGAGCGGTGCACGCTTTCTATATCTCGTCGCGTTTCTGTTACCCCAATAGCAAATTTTAAGAGAGCTGTTCATGTCCGTGATTTCTAATATTAGTAGCAGCGAACGTTTTCAATATCTCCTCGCGTTTCTGTTATGCTGATGTCAAATTTTATCCAGCTGGAACCTAGTTAGATTTCTCTCGTTTTTAAAAATGATTGAGGTGTGAATATGTGATATTCAATCATTGATGATCCCGTATCAGGATCGCAGAAACGACGAGAGCTGTTCATGTCCGTGATTTATAATATTAGGAGCAGTTAACGTTTTCAATACCTCCTCGCATTTCTGTTATCCTGATATAAAATTTTATCTAGGTGGAATCTAGATAGATTTGTCTGATTTTGTAAAAAAGATTGAGGTGTGAATGTGTGGTATTTATTGAACTATTGTTAATTGTGCATCAGGACAGCAGCTCACGACAAGAGGTGTCGAATCTGTAATTTGTCGTAGCAAGATTAGTGCATCTTTACATACTTCCCCGCGTTTCCGTTATTCTGATAGCAACTTTTAACCAGCTAGATTTGTGTCATTTTATAAAAAGGATTGAAAATTGTGTATCAGGATCGCACATGACGAGAGATGTTCGCGTCTCTAGTTTGTAATACATACCTCTTCGCGTTTCTGTTATCTTAATAGCAACTTTTCCCCAGCTAGTTGTACCTCGTGCTGTAAAAAGGATTGATGTGTGAACCTGTGATAGGGATCATGTATCAGGATCGTAGGGACGACGAGAGGTGTTAGCACTTGTAATTTCCAAATGTAATATAGTTTAGCTGCATTTGCTCCTACAAGAAAATATTAAATTTCTGAAAATACGTAGAGTATAAAAACTACAACTGCTGAAAATAGATATTCAAGGAATAACCTACCTTCAGGATAGAAAAGCTCGATAACTCAAATGAATAAAAAATGTAACTTAGCGTTTTGAACGTGTGATGAGCATGAGTCCTATTGCAAAAATAAGAGTCGTTTTCCGATACCGAGAATCGAACCAGAGCCTCCTGTTGTGAAAGCCAGGTATCCTAGCCACTAGGCCATATCGGACGGCCAGTTTTAGTTTTCGTAAGGCCCTACTGATTGTACCATTGTAATGATCTGATACATTTACAGATGGAGAAAATGATGTATACTGAGAGAAAATCTACTAGATTTCCCTCACTTTGTAAAAATGATTGTTGTGTGATATTCAGCCATTGAGAATTCTGTATCAGGATCGCAAACACGACAAGAGATGTCCGTGTCTGCAATTTGTAATATTAGGTGTACTGAAACAAATTATATCCGAAATAATGTCTTACTGCTGGGAAAAGAAAAGCTCATCGATAAACCGATAAAAAAATGAGAAACTAAGAATACAATATGATCTTGCCCTCAGAAATATAAATAATATCGATAATACTATCGATAGTACGTATAAAATGACAGAAAGAATAGAGGTGATCGAGAAGCCAAATCAATAAAAAAGTAATTTTACCTTTTGATTGCATAATGAGCATGTTGCAATTTTCATAATTATAAATCCTATGGTAAAAAAGGTTTCAATACCGTCTCGCGTTTCTGTTATCCTGATATCAAATTTTACTTAGCTGGGATCTAGCTGGATTTGTCTCATTTTGTAAAAATGATTGATGTGTGTGATATTCAGTCATTGACGATCGTGTATCAGGATCGCAGAAATGACTAGAGCTGTTCGCGTCCGTGATTTCTAATATTAGGAGACTACTAGAAAGGTTTCAATGCGTTCTCGCGTTTCTGTTCTCCTGATATCAAATTTTACCTAGCTGGAATCTAGCTAGATTTGTCTCATTTTGTAAAAATGATTGATGTGTGATATTCAGTCATTGACGATCGTGTATCAGGATCGCAGAAATGACTAGAGCTGTTCGCGTCCGTGATTTCTAATATTAGGAGACTACTAGAAAGGATTCAATACGTTCTCGCGTTTCTGTTCTCCTGATATCAAATTTTACCTAGCTGGAATCTAGCTAGATTTGTCCCATTTTGTAAAAATGATTGATGTGTGATATTCAGTCATTGACGATCGTGTATCAGGATCGCAGAAATGACTAGAGCTGTTCGCGTCCGTGATTTCTAATATTAGGAGACTATTAGAAAGGTTTCAATACGTTCTCGCATTTCTGTTCTCCTGATATCAAATTTTACCTAGCTGGAATCTAGCTAGCTTTGTCTCATTTTGTAAAAATGATTGATGTGTGATATTCAGTCATTGACGATCGTGTATCAGGATCGCAGAAACCACGAGAGCTGTTCATGTCCGTGATTTCTAATATTAGGAGCAGCGAACATTTCCAATACCTCCTCGCGTTTCTGTTATCCTGATATTAAATTTTATCTAGCTAGAATTTAGCTAGATTTCTCTCATCTTTGAAAATGATTGAGGTGTGTGATATTCAATGATTGATGATCGTGTATCAGGATCGCAGAAATGACTAGAGCTGTTCGCGTTCGTGATTTCGAATATTAGGAGACTACTAGAAGGGTTTCAATACCGTCTCGCGTTTCTGTTATCCTGATATCAAATTTTGCTTAGCTGGAATCTAGCTAGATTTGTCTCATTTTGTAAAAATGATTGATGTGTGATATTCAGTCATTGACGATCGTGTATCAGGATCGCAGAAACCACGAGAGCTGTCCACGTCCGTGATTTCTAATCTTAGGAGACTACTAGACAGGTTTAAATACCTTCTCGCGTTTCTGTAATCCTGATATCAAATTTTACCTAGCTAGATTTGTCTCATTTTGTAAAAATGATTGATGTGTGTGATATTCAGTCATTGACGATCGTGTATCAGGATCGCAGAAATGACTAGAGCTGTTCGCGTCCGTGATTTCTAATATTAGGAGACTACTAGAAAGGTTCCAATACGTTCTCGCGTTTCTGTTCTCCTGATATCAAATTTTACCTAGCTGGAATCTAGCTAGCTTTGTCTCATTTTGTAAAAATGATTGATGTGTGATATTCAGTCATTGACGATCGTGTATCAGGATCGCAGAAACCACGAGAGCTGTTCATGTCCGTGATTTCTAATATTAGGAGCAGCGAACATTTCCAATACCTCCTCGCGTTTCTGTTATCCTGATATTAAATTTTATCTAGCTAGAATTTAGCTAGATTTCTCTCATCTTTGAAAATGATTGAGGTGTGTGATATTCAATGATTGATGATCGTGTATCAGGATCGCAGAAATGACTAGAGCTGTTCGCGTCCGTGATTTCTAATTTCAGGAGACTACTAGAAGGGTTTCAATACCGTCTCGCGTTTCTGTTATCCTGATATCAAATTTTACTTAGCTGGAATCTAGCTAGATTTGTCTCATTTTGTAAAAATGATTGATGTGTGATATTCAGTCATTGACGATCGTGTATCAGGATCGCAGAAACCACGAGAGCTGTTCATGTCCGTGATTTCTAATATTAGGACACTACTAGAAAGGTTTCAATACGTTCTCGCGTTTCTGTTCTCCTGATATCAAATTTTACCTAGCTGGAATCTAGCTAGCTTTGTCTCATTTTGTAAAAGTGATTGATGTGTGATATTCAGTCATTGGCGATCGTGTATCAGGATCGCAGAAACGATGAAAGCTGTTCACGTCCGTGATTTCTAATATTAGGAGCAGCGAACAGTAGATGTCTTATGGGGATTCGGTCTCAAAACTTCCAAAATCCGCCACCAGAGGCGCTGGCGTCGCGCGCCATTGACAGGTTGTTGGACGGAATCTGTAATCGAAATTCATGAGTTGGGGATTCCGCCGCTAGATGGCGCTGTCAAACCAAACGGAATCTGTGTGTCATTGGACACCTGTCATGCGTCATTGGGCATCTCACGCATAGATGGCGTTAAAACGTCATCTGTCATACGTCATTGGACACCTGTCATTGATGGGTTGAGCATCTCGCGCATAAATGGCGTAGATTTGTTTGGCGGTGTACAAACCTAACGGAATCTATGCGTCATTGGACAGCTGCCATTGATGGGTTGGGCATCTCGCGCATAGATGGCGCCGATGTCGCACCTGTCTGGTGTTGGCGTGGATTACGGGGGGCAACGTGTATACAGGGGTGCATCGAAAAATAGCGGATCGATGGACCGACGGTATATCGTTAAATCGTATATAGCAAGGCGTGACCTAAATAGCGTGGTGGGCTCCTCTGGTCGGTCGGTCGGTCGGTCAGAATGTCTTATAACCTGTATACGATGTACTGTTATTATTATACAGGATGATACCGTTCAAAATGAAAATAGTATAGACATTCTGACAATTATTTCGCAAACCAGAGGTATTTTCAATAAAACTACAATAATACGTTTAATATTTTATTGAAAATAGAAAAAACTACATAGGTAATATGATATTTGAAAACCAGTGGCGTAGACGTTCAACATTTCTCTGGGTACAGGAAAATTGTCCGTTGGTGTGGCATGGATTGGAATCAGCAACAAAGTTTCCAGTAGCACACGGTGTACCATCATACTTGCAAACATCAATAATGTTGGGAAAAACACCAAAAATGTGACATTTCTTGAGTAAAAAGTTTGCTTTCTGTTCTCCACGAACGTAGACATAGTCAGCCGCATATATCACCTTATTTTTAATTATTTCATTTAACTTGGAATATTTAACGTCGCCGGAAGAATATTTAAGCCCATGGAAATTCTTCTCCAAGTAAGCGACAGTTTTCTTGTCTTTAGTATTTAATGTAGAAAAAGGTTGCGGAGGTGTAAAGATGTAATGACTTTTCTTGAAACCAATTTCGATACATAGTTCTTTAGGTACGAATAATCCGTCAACTGTAAAGCCTTGAATGTCAACAAACGCGATCCTCATGATGTCTGATGCGGAACTGAGAGTCCTTCGTTGCTTACGAGATGGTTTTAATAACTTCGGTGAGGGGGAAGTACTCGATTAAGCAGTCATGTATAATGATGCAGTAGGCCTTGGTGTTGGTTGGAAAGCCAGTATCGGCTTCGATATCCAATCTAACATCAACAGTTGATGATTTCATGGTTTCCTCTTGTTTGGAACAGTCAATAACAAACAAAGCGCGATTTTTAAAAGCGGTATAATCTAAAAGACATCTCTTCAGAGGAGAAGAAGAAGTTGTATAGCTGGTTTGAAAGTCGCTATAGTTGAAATGAGCTTCAGTAAAGTGATTGTTTGCAAAGTCCAATTGCATACGTTCGTTGGGATAGTATTCACCATTTAAAGATACTCGAATACTAGCAGCATTCACGTGATCAAACAGGGTAGGGTCTGAGGTTGCGACGTCACGTTTACCGGTTTGGAAACATACTATAATGAAACGTGGTCTTTCGATTGCGGTGCTAGTTTTAACTGACCATATTTCTCTTCTCGCATCTGCGGTAATTGCAGGCAGTTCATTCAGATCCCATTTTCTAAACGGTATAAGTATCGGCTTATCAGTTTGAATAGCTTTCAAAAGTTGTTCTTTCACATCATCACTCGGGTAAATATGTTTGATTTTCAGTTCCATGCTTTCAATAGTTATTTTCGCTGTCGTCGTCGTTCCAGTTTTTTCCTTGATAATGATACAATCGTTATCGTTTCTAGCTCTCACAAATCTGAGAGTTTGTCTGCCACACGTAATCATAGGATAATCATTGAAAATGTTGAAAATATGTTTAAGCGGCATTAGCAAGCTAAAAGACTTGTTATGTGTTGACGCCATTATAGGTGTTGAAGGATAGTTCCATCCAGCTATAGCCATATGATTTGAGTCTTCCTCACTGTAACATACGTAAGCTCGGACAGTACTTACAATACCAGGATCACGTACTGTTTCAACTTCTCTAGCGGATTCACTGTAAGTGCAAGAGTCAAATAGGAAGGCACCAAAGTTTGGAGCTAAAGATACATCTCCTGCTCCTCCTCCTCCAGTTATTTCAACTTTTCCTTTGATAGATAGAAGGGAAGCGTTCATTGCAAAGAACGAATCTACTTGATTGATGCTAAATTCCACAACATCATTACAATTAAATGACTTGATGAACGGCGTATAAGATC